TATTATTATTATTATTATTATTATTATTAAATGTTTGAAGCTTCCAAATTGTTTCCTGAGCTAATTTGACATGAGGGAAGGTTTTTACATTTCTTTTCCCTGCAAGTTGATTTGGAAAAAAAATATCTAATGCCTGCCATTTTCTTTTAAATAATGTTCCATGCACACTTGGAAAAAAAAAAGAAAGAAAAAGAAAGAAAGAAAGAAAGAAAGAAAGAAAGAAAGAAAGAAAGAAAGAAAGAAAGAAAGAAAGAAAAGAAAAGAAAAGAAAAGAAAAGAAAAGAAAAGAAAAGAAAAGAAAGAAAATAATTCAATACTTTCAATACATACCTAGAACTAAGGAGAAATTTCCTGACAGTGAGAACAATTAATCAGTGGAACAACCTGCCTCCGGAAGATGTGGATGCTCCAACACTGGAAATTTTTAACAAGAGATTGGACAATCATTTGTCTGAATTGGTATAGGGTTTCCTGCCTGAGCAGGGGGTTGGACTAGAAGACCTCCAAGGTCCTTTTCAACTCTGTTATTCTATTATTTTGTTATTGTCCCATTTCAAAGCTAACCAAGTGTTTTATTTTTATTCATTCATTTATCAAATTTATACAGTTCCCCATCTCATTAGAATCTTCACCAATGAAAGATTCATATACTGTGTGTGTGTGTGTGTGTGTGTGTATTCCACTGAATCAATAAGTAGGCTTTCCCCAGCCTTAAGACCTGAGGTGAAAGTCGTTTGTTTTGTTTTTTGTTTGTTTGATTCGTTGCAATGTTCTTGGTTCATTAAACCCAGAGACTATTAACTCCTCTCTCCATTTTTGTTTGTTGTTTCAGGAGCGGCTGGTTCTGTCTGTGTTACCTCGATTTGTTGTGCTAGAGATGATTAACGACATGGGCACTGTGGAGGACGAACACTTACAACACCAGTTCCATAAGATCTATATCCACCGTTATGAAAACGTCAGGTGCTTTCTTTTGTTTTCCAGATTAATCATGTCTTCCTCTGCTGAATGCATGCTCGTCTTTAGGCCAGTTCATTCCTCATTGGGTTTGGAAGGTTAGGAGATGTCCCTGAATTGCTGAGCTTCTCTTCTCGTTGTGGTTCTTCGCTCATTCTTCCTGTTGGACAACGGAGATGTTCCTGTCTCAATTTCTCGCACTATCCCAGCCTTCTTTTGCTCACCTCGCTTTCTGGTGCAAATGAGAGGGTTTGATTTAATTTGAGTGCTCCCGTTTTCCATTGTAGCCCACCGAGTCTGCTATCTCAAGCATGCTGACTTCCAAGGATGTATGGACAGAATTGATAGGACTTGTTTCCTTGTAAATACGATTCAGATTCAGATTCAGCTCTGATCTTTGCCGTTACTGCTGTATGCTCAGGCAACTGCAGCAATCACACACGGATGGGCACAATTCAAGATATATGCAAGGCTGATTGAGGCCTACCTGGGCAACTGCCAGGAAACTGAAAGAAAAGCATGGATGAGGAAGGAATAACCCTCATGAATGCAATAGGGCACCCTGAAATCCAATTCAGCCTGCATTGCTAGCTGGCAATCCTGCCAGTTGGAATCATGTCTTTTAAACTATTCAGTTAAAACAGGTGTCTTCAAACTTGGCCCTTTCATGACTTGTGGACTTCAACTCCCAGAATTCCTCAGCCAGGCACGTTGGCTGAGGAATTCTGGGAGTTGAAGTCCACAAGTCATAAAAGGGCCACGTTTGAAGACCCCTGAGTTAAAATAACTATTCAGACCTGCATAGTTTATTATGCTTGAGAGGACTTCTCCACTTATCTGTGCCATCCTATCATAGGCTTAGTAAATTAATCCCTCTCCCTCTCTCTCTTTCCCCCTCCCTCTCCCTGATTAATTTAGGGCTGTTGAGTTAGGTAGTCTGATTGCAGAGAAAAATGTTGCCAGTCTAACTGCTACAGGTAGTCCTTGACTTATGGCCACAACTGAGCCCCCAATTTTTGTTGTTAAGCAGTACAGATGTTACATTTTCCCCCATTTTACAACCTTTCTTGCCACTGTTGTTAAGTGAATGACTGCAGTTATTAAGTTAGTAACTCAGTTGTTAAGCGAATCTGGTTTCCCCATTGACTTTGTTTGTCATAAAAGGGGATCACTTGTCCCCAGGACATTGCAACCATCATAAATACATCTAGTTGCCAAGCATCCAATTTTTGATCACATGACCATGGGGATGCTGCAATGGTCGTAAGTGTGAAAGGCTGCTGTAAGTCACTTTTTCCAGTGCCGTTGTAACTTTGGACAGTCAACAAATGGTTGTAAGTCGAGGATTACGTGTATTAATTCCTCTGTTTCTTCACCTTATTCTGTTCTTTTTTTCCCCTGTTCTGTTTCCCGCAAATTTGCCTCTGCCACAAACATTGTTTCTAGTCTACGTCATTGGAAAAGTGAAGGATCAGATTGGGGACATATCATTCTGGAGAAAATCCATATCAGGGGTCTTCAAACTTGGCAACTTTAAGACTTGTGGACTTCAGCTCCAAGAATTCCTCAGCCAGCCCTGAAATTCTGGGAGTTGAAGTCCACAAGTCTTAAAGTTGCCAAGTTTGAAGACCTCTGATCTATATAGTCACTAAAACGTGATGGCAGGATCCATCAGACATCAGACTTGTCTAGGTAGCATTGCTATTTGAGTTGCCCTACTATATCCCTACTAACCTGACTGTTCATCTCCTTTCTGTGTTCAGCATTCTATTTGCAGATGTGAAAGGATTTACCAATCTCTCTACAACATTATCGGCTCAAGAGCTGGTCCGGATGCTGAATGAACTTTTTGCCAGATTCGATCGCTTAGCACACGTGAGTCCAGCTGCTGATGCCTTTTTCTGAACTTCGGTAGAGAAGCAGGATGGAGAAAGAGAAACACACACTTACACAGAGAGACCCTCTTTTGGGGGGGGGGGGTGTCTTAAATTTGCGCATTTGGTGACTCACTAGGCCAAGTGTAGGCAACCTTGGCTCTTTTATGACTCGTGGACTTCAACTCCCAGAATTCCTGAGCCAGCCATGCTGAGGGGAAAGGGAGATGTTTCCAAGCTGAGCCAAGTTGGCTCAGGAATTCTGGGAGTTGAAGTCCACAAGTCATAAAAGAGCCAAGGTTGCCTACCCCTGCAGTAGGCCAAAGTCAAAATTTTGTTTTTAATTTCCAATTGCACCTCGGCTTTTCAGTCCAAGGCAGGCAAAACTAACATGTGCTTGGCAGGCTTGTTGAATAATTTTGAAATATTCCTGATTTTAATCTTGCTGTGTTAACGGTTACTTTCATTTATTTGCCTAGCCAAATTGCCTTTTATCTTCATCTGAAGCAAAAGTTTCATGACCATCTCATGCTTCATGACATTGGATAGTGGTCCTTGAGAAACCACTATCTTATTAGGACAGGTGGCAAGTTGTATTCTCCATGTCTGTTGATGTAGCCAAATCTCCAGAATCCTTAGTGGGAAATAAATGCTTTTAACATTGTGGTCTATTTCCATAAGTCTTGAAGGGGAAACTGAGTTTGATTGGAGGAAAGTCTTTCCCAAAATTAGGATCACTCTCTTTCTGAACCTTAGCTATTTAAACAGAAAATATAGTAAAGAAATACGGTACTTAATTCTACATATAACAACGGCAGCAAGAATAGCATACGAACAGTTCTGGAAAAATGAGAATATACCATCAGAGGAAGAAGTGATAAGAAAAATCCTGGACTGTGCTGAGATGGACAAATTAACAAAAGAAATAAAAGAAAAGGAAGACACAGAGAACTATCTAATATGGAACAAGTGGTATGACTGGTTGGAGAAATAATAGAGGAGAATAAAGGTGGAAAGGTCAAAAGTGGAAAATGTGTGTATAATGAAAACAATGGGACAACAAGGACAAATATTCTAAAGAAGAATAAGGGGGGGGAAATGTAAATAATAGAAGATTACCATTACAAAATTGCTGTTAAAAAAGGGGGGAGGAGTATACACTATGTTTTGTTTTGTTTTGTTGGTTTAAAAAATAAAAAAATATTAAATAAAAAAAAAGATGCGTGGACTTCAACTTGCAGAATTCTCCAGCCAGCCATGCTGGCTGGGGAATTCTGCAAGTTGAAGTCCGCGCATCTTAAAGTTGTCAAGGTTGAGAAACACTGCTGTAGATACTAAACAAGGGTTGAATCTGGCAAAGAGGCTAAGTTTGTTATCAAGCCACATCTGAGAAATGACCAATAAGAAGACTGATACTACTAAAGGATAGAAAAAGGAGTCACAATGTTTAAATCCTAGGACTATTAGAGAACTTGATTGCTTGGTTGACAGATGAGCTGTCCTCTTCTCCAGTTTCTTTGGAGATACGGTATCCACCTTTCTCCATTTTTCTTCAGACCCTAGTTTCCCAACTGGGATTAACAGCACACTCTTAGCGTCTGCCAAGAATTTGGTATATCAGTCCTGGTTGAAAGAAAATTGATAGTATGACATAGGACACAGGAAAAATAATCCATTATTTTCTAGCCTGGGGAGAGAAAGAGAAAAAAAAAATGTTCCGATTGCCTTCTTGGAATAAATAAATGTTGCAGAAGTTCATTGACTTTATTCAATGTCATTTTTTTCTAGCTTAGTTCCTGACAGGCCATGTTGTATTTTTCATGTGTTTATCAAGCTTGCTTTAAATCATGCCTGGGAATTTTGTCATAGGCTGTAAGAACTTGAGAGAAAAAAATACATTAAACCAAAACTTACCTAGTCCTTTAATTTGTTCATTAGATTGAAGCTCAAAATAGGACATAAATTCAACTTCCTGTCATTTGGTTGTTCTAGTCCAGTGTTTCTCAACCTTGGCAACTTTACGATGTGTGGACTTCAACTCCCAAAATTCTCCAGCTAGCAACGCTAGCTGGAGAATTCTGGGAGTTGAAGTCCACACATCGTAAAGTTGCCAAGGTTGAGAAACACTGTATCTAGTCTGAATCATCAATGATTATCCAGACTGATACTGTTAAAAGGCTGTTTTTCATAAATTAGTCTCATACCCCTTTGTAACTATTAAAATTCACCTAACACAAGACACACAACACCCCTTGTGTTGGAGAATTCCACAATTTAACCATACTGTGCTCTATGTAAAAAGCCTTCTTTTAATCCGACATGTATTCAGAATTGTTCTTCGCCAGCAATAATGTACATTAAATGTCCATCTCCAAGGAGTGGCCCTCTCTCCTCGCTGAGATGTTCATGCAGAAGTGAGATGTTCTCTTGCATTCAGTGGGTCAAGAATAAGCTTCAGCTAAACAGCCTTCAAGAACTCCTTGAGCTCCAATAATTCACGTTTCATCTTCATTCATTCATCTTCATGACCGAGCTATTACTAATCCCTCTTATTAAATGAGTAAATATTCAATGAATGAAAAAACATCTTGCTGAGTCATCAAGGAATGCATCTGCTATTATGAGCTTAATTTTAGTGGGTTCAGTCTGGCATGCTGTCCTATGATTAGCAGCCTACTGCATTGGTGATCAGAGTTAATGATACTCCTCTCCATGTTCTGCTCACGTAAGGGGAAGCTGGAAGGACAGAAAACTGTATTGTCAAAAAAAGGGGAGCACTTTTAAAGCTCTATGGTTTTCAGTAGGAAAGTCAGACAAATGGTCTCTGCTATTTTTACAAGCTTTGGTGGTGATGATGGTGGTAATGACGATGAGATTTACAGGTGGTCCTCAGCTTATGATCATAGTTGGGATCAGAATTTGGGTTGCTAAGCAATGCAGTCATTAAATGATTCATCAGAATAACATAGCTGGAAGGGAACTTGGAGGTCTTCTAGTCCAACTCATTGCTTAAGCACGAAACCCTTATCATTTCAGACAAATGGTTGTCCAATCTCTTCTTAAAAACTTCCAGGGTTGGAGCATTCACAACTTCCGGAGGGAAGTTGTTCCACTGATTAATTGTTCTGTCAGGAAGTTTCTCCTTAGTTCCAGGCTGCTTCTTTCCTTGATTAGTTTCCATCAATAGAATAGAATAGAATAGAATAGAATAGAATAGAATAGAATAGAATAGACCTTGGAGGTCTTCTAGTCCAGCCCCCTGCTGAAGCAGGAGAACCTATGCCATCTCAGACAGGTGAATGTCAAGTCTCTTCTTGAAAATCTCCAGTGATGGAATGCCCACAATTTCTGGAGGCAAGCTGTTCCACTGGTGGATTGTCCTCACTGTCAGGAAGTTTCTCCTTAATTCCTGGTTGCTTCTCTCTTTGATCAGCCATTGCTTCTTGTCCTGCCTTTTGGTGCTTTGGACAATACCTTGACCCCCTCTTCTTTGTGGCAGCTCCTCAGATACTGGAAGATTTGAAATATACTGGAGATACTAGGCCTTCTTTTCATTACATCACAAGGCCAGATCTGATTTTACAGATTTTTTTTTACTGTGGTCATTAAGCAAATCCAGTTTCCCCCACTGACTGTGGTTGTTAAAAACTGGCCCATCACATGACCACAAGACACTGCAATAAATGTGAGTGTCCAAATTGTGATCAAGGGTGGTAAGAGGGTTACAACTTCGAGGACAGGGCATGTCACTTTTTCCAAAGCCATTGCAACTTCAAATAGTCATTAAATGAATGGTTGTAAGTTGAGGATTCTGTGCAGCATTTTATTTTAAGCAATGTGAGGTTACCATTTGTATTTGGTAATGTGATTTTTACCATTTAGACCTTATGGCCCTTGCGAGCTGCGTGGTGGCCTGATGGTGAAGACGCTCACCTCCCACACAGAAGGTTGAGAGTTCAAACCTAGGTAGAGACAGATATTTCTCTCTCCTAGGGTGCGAAGAAAAAATATCTGCTCAAACTCTGCATAGGCATTAGGAAGAGCATCCAGCCAGTAAACGCTCAGCTTCATCCAGATACCCTGACTCTACCCCAAATTAACAGATTACAGGGTTGTAGAAAGGGAGGTTTTTTATATATATCTGGTGGCCCTTCTAGTTTTCTGCACTTCTGTTGTTTTACACTCAGTTACACATCGTTGAGTTTCATACTCTGAATTTATTCGATGGTATTTTAGTACTTTATGGTTTAAGCTGTATTCTAGATCAAAATACATGTATCAGAGGTTGTTATCTGGTTTGCATCCTAGTCACATTTCTTCAGGAACGATAAAACCCAAGAAACATGAAAACTGGAGGACCATCAAGTAAACAAGAGAGAAGATTTCCTAACATTTTCAGCCGTACTCTGATAGAAATTGATCTCTTAAAAAAATTGTCCCCCTTTTTCTGAACTGTGCCTTAATGATGTAATTCTTATGGCCTTTTTTTTTTTTTCAAGCTGCCATTACTACGTATAGTGCTGAGACCATCTGGAGACACATCAGAGCACAGATGGAAATCTGTCAGCATGTCTTTGTCCTGTTAGGCAGCCAACTTTCCAGGAATTGTAATCTATTCTGGAGCAGGCTTGTAGATATGCATCATCTTTCTCTGGAAGATATCCATTACATTGCATAGACTAATCCAACTTTTATTATGGTCTAATAGAGCAGAGGTCCCCAACCTTTTGGGCACCAGGGACCGGTTCCGCTGAGAGAGGTTTTTCTGCAGTCCGGAGAGGGTGTGGTTTTGTGTGCTGCCTGTATCCCACAGATGGGGCTTTGCTTGTTTGTGTGGACCAGTTGTTGGCATGCTGCGGACCAGCACTGGTCCACGGACCAGGGGTTGGGAACCCCTGTAATAGAGAATAGGAATAGAACAGTTCTTATCCTTCCCAATAAAAGAGTTGGAAGGGATCTTGGAGGTCTTCTAGTCCAACCCCCTGCTCAAGCAGCAGACCCTATACCATTCCAGACAAGTGGATGTCCAGTCTCTTATTAAAAGACTCCAGTGATGGAGCACCCACAACTTCTGAAGGCAAACTGTTCCACTGGTTAATTGTTCTCACTGTCAGGAAATTTCTCCTTAGTTCTACATTACTTCACTCCTTGATTAGTTTCCATCCATTGTTTCTTTTCTTGCCTTCTGGTGCTTTGGAAAATAGGTTGACCTCCCATCTTCTTTGTGGCAGCCCCTCAAATATTGGAACATTGCTATCATGTCTCCCCTATTTCTTCTTTTCACTAGACTACACATACCCAATTCCTGCATCCGTTCTTCAAATGGTTTAACCTCCAACCCCTTAATCATTTTTGTTGCTCTTTTCTGTGCTCTTTCCAGAGTCTCAGCATCTTTTTCATAATATGGTGACCAACAGTGGATGCAGTATTCTAAATATGGTCTTTTTACGCCTTTTAAAAGCCGTACTAGTACTTCATGTGATCTTGATTCTATCCCTCTGTTAATTCAGCCTAGGACTGCATTGTCTTTTTTGGCTGCTGCTACATGTTGCTGGCTCATATTATCCTCTATTAGACCAGAATAGAAGTTGGATTAGTCTACCCAATGTCTTTCTAGATAATGAAACACACATCACATTTTGGAATTAACAGGGTTATGGAAAGATAATATAATATAAAGTACTACTACCACATCTTGGACCTCTTTCAAAGCTTTTAAAAGTTTTTATAGCATCATTTAAAAAAGCATTATTTTTTGTCCTTTGTTTCTGGACTGCAACTACTGTTTATAGTACACTGAGTGCACTGTAATTTAAATGGCAACTCCCAGATGACCTTGACTAAAGTTACATCATCACTGATCGTATTCATTATCATTTCTAGATAAATCAGTTAGAGCCAGTTTGCTCCAAGTAAGAATGGAGAGCCAGTTTGGTCTAGTGCAGGGGTCTTCAAACATGGCCCTTTTATGACTTGTGGACTTCAACTCCCAGAATTCCTCAGCCAGCGTGCCTGGCTGAGGAATTCTGGGAGTTGAAGTCCACAAGTCATAAAAGGGCCAAGTTTGAAGACCCCTGCTCTAGTGGTTAAGGCACTAGGCTAGAAAAACAGGAGACCATGAGTTCTAGTCCCACATTAGGCACTAAACCCAGCTGGATGACTTTGGGCCAATCACCAGGAGATTGTGAGATGTAATCCCACCTTAGCCATGAAAGTCAGCTGGGTGACTTTGGGCCAATCTGTCTCTCTTACCCAACCCACCTCACAGAGTTGTTGTTGTGGGGAAAATAGAAGGTGTGTTGGATATGTTCACTGCATTGAATTATTTGTAAAGACCGGATACAAAGAAATAAACAAACTGCCCTACAGTGGGATAATGATGGCAGCTCTTTACTGCCCAAGGAGAAAGAAAAGAAGAAATAGGGGAGACATGATAGCAGTGTTCCAGTATCTGAGGGGCTGCCACAAAGAAGAGGGGGTCACGTTATTCACCAAAACACCAGAGGGAAGGATGAGAAACAATGGTTGGAAACTGATCAAGGAGAGAAGCAACCTGGAATTAAGGAGAAACTTCCTGACAGTGAGGACAATCAACCAGTGGAACAGCTTGCCTCCAGAAATTGTGGGCGTTCCATTGCTGGAAGTTTTTAAAAAGAGACTGGACAATGACCTGCCTGAGATGGTATAGGTCCTGCTTGAGCAGGGGGCTGGATTAGAAGACCTCCAAGGTCTCGTCTCTTCTCTTCTCTTCTCTTCTCTTCTCTTCTCTTCTATTCTATTCTATTCTATTCTATTCTATTCTATTCTATTCTATTCCTTATACTATTCCTTATTCTATTCTATTCTATTCTATTCTATTCTATTCTATTCTATTCTATTCTATTCTATTCTATTCTACCCTACCCTACCCTACCCTGCCCTGCCCTGCCCTGCTCTGCTCTGCCCTGCCCTGCTCTGCTCTGCCCTGCCCTGCCCTGCCCTGCCCTACCCTGCCCTACTCTACTCTACTCTACTCTACTCTACTCTACTCTACTCTACTCTACTCTACTCTACTCTACTCTACTCTACTCTATTCTATTCTATTCTATTCTATTCTATTCTATTCTATTCTATTCTATTCTAAATCACCAGTACCTTGTAATCTGAGAATTCAAATTACCATTTTCTTTCTTGTCCAACCACTAGATTCCTATTATTATAATATAAACATGGGAGATTTCTCCTCTGGAGTTCTGATATGGATAAGAGTCTCAGATCTTGAAAGCCATTAGGGTGCTGTTGCTTTTTGGAAAATTGCAGGTCTTATTTCTTTCTGGATGCAGAAAAGCATGTCTGTACTGCAGAACTTCACATTTTCTCCCCGGCATTCCTCCCATCCATCTTCTTTTTGTAGAAAGAATTGCAGAGCTGCTATTTTTATTTTCTTCATTTACAGGAACATCACTGCCTCAGAATTAAGATCCTGGGAGACTGCTACTATTGTGTATCTGGGCTTCCAGAGCCTCGGCAGGATCATGCTCACTGTTGCGTTGAAATGGGACTCAGCATGATCAAAACCATCAGGTAATTTGTGTTTGGCTTTATTGCCACCCTCACACTGTGCTACGGTCAGTGGTTTTACAGCTCTTACCTTGGGGACAGTGGAATATTTTGTAGGAACCTTGTCTTTCCCACTCCCACTGACTTTAAAAAAAAATAGAACCAATGTTCATTGCAAAAGACAGTTGAACAGAGCTGAAGAAACTTGGATTCAGGATTGTGTATTGAATTCCAGAACAGACTGGAGTTTGCAATTCAGCTACACACAGAAAACTATTCCTGGTAACCATCAAGTTTTAATTCTTGTTGGAATCTAGTTTAGAGCAGGACCAGAATATCTATGGCAGGGGTAGACAACGTTGGCTCTTTTATGACTCGTGGACTTCAACTCCCAGAATTCCTGAGCCATCCATGCTGAGGGGAAAGGGAGAGGTTTCCATTTATTTTAATAAATAAAATAAATAAATAAATGCTGAGCCATGCTGGCTCAGGAATTCTGGGAGTTGAAGTCCACGAGTCATAAAAGAGCCAAGGTTGCCTACCCCTGGTCTATGGAGAGTCTCAGTCATCCAGGTCATGGTTGTCCCAAAGGTGCTTTTTCAAGAGGCAACTGGGCTTTGTTTTTTCCTTGAAGACGTTTCACTTCTCATCCAAGAAGCTTCATTGGTTCTAAAGAAGCTTCTTGGATGAGAAGTGAAACATAACATATTTCCAAAAGCCAATCATTAGTATTTGGAATAATACAATTTTCCAATTTCTCAATGAGGCAGATTTGTAAATCTAGCCAGTCCTTCCCAAGGATCTAGGACAGGCAACCTTGGCTCTTTTATGACTCGTGGACTTCAACTCCCAGAATTCCTAAGCCAACATGGCTCAGCTTGGAAACCTCTCCCTTTCCCCTCAGCATGGCTGGCTCAGGAATTCTGGGAGTTGAAGTCCACGAGTCATAAAAGAGCCAAGGTTGCCTACCCCTGATCTAGGATAAGTAGATATTGTTGTTTAAGAAATTATTGTGGTGGGTCGCACAGTCAGCCAGATGTTCAGACTGGAATTGGCATTTTTATCCGCCTCTCGAGTCCTTCCCGAGGACCTGGGATAGGCAGACCTTGGTGTTTCAATAAAGAAGAATATTTGCAGCTCACGGTTGACATGAGGGGTCCTTGGTGCTTGCTAGTTTTCTTGCAGATGTTTCATTATCCAAACTAGGTAACATCATTAGGAGTGAAACATCTTCAAGCAAAAACAAAGAAAGTCCAGTTGCCTCTTGCAGAAGCCCATTTGGGAGCAGGAACAGACAAACTTTGTTGCTACAGGAAGAAGCCCATAAGAAAATACCAAATATAAGCAGAACACCAATAAAAATGCAACAATAACACATTTCCAAAAGCCAATCATTAATATTTGGAATAATATCACTTTTCCAATTTCTCAGTAAAGATCTTTTGACCCCTTCCTGTGTATGATGCTGCCATAATTCCTCACAGTCCAATTCTTGAGCTTTGGTATATAATTTAACCTCCAGGTTAACATCTTCAACATTTAAAGAGTTCCCCATAAATCAACTTACGTTCATTAAAATGCAATTCCAGAAAAGAGTCAAGAATTCATAGGACTATGTCATATGGAGCAATGAAACCAACTTCTCCAACAGAGAAAATCTGTTCTTCCTTTCAAGAACATTCTTCAAGGCACCCAATATACTTTCTCACAGCCTGCACTCCTCAAAATAAAAGCACCATTTCTGCTTTATGTTGTTCTAAGAACTTGCCGTGACTGCAAAGGGAATAGCTTTCCAATATGGGCTATAAAAGACAATGTTCCATAAATCGTCATTCTATGTATTTAGGGCTGATAAAATAAGCCCAATTATATTTTTTGTAAATTAGACATATTAAAACCACCCTCCTCCAAAGATAATCTCAATTTAGCTAATGAATCTCTCAAGGGGCCTACTATCCCAAATAAATTTCCTAAATAACCTAGCAATGTGAAGAAAATTTGCATTAGGTATTAACATTAGAATACCACTAAGGACATAGATCAAATGAGGGACAATATTCATTTTAATAACATTAACCCCATAGGCATAAATGGGATCTTAATGCCTCCATTCATATCCAATTCCACTTTCTAAAAGTTTCAGTGTATTTATTTTCACATATTTAGAAATGTTTTGGGGAATATAAAGTGCTTAATATAATCGGTTTAGTACTGGCAATGAAGGTATCAAAGTGATGGATAGATTCTGCTTTTTAGGATCAACACTAAAGGAAAAGTCGAGAAATATATTACAGACTCTCGCTTGATAGAGCAGCCATGAAGTTCTTGGTAAAGATATTTCAGTGCTATAATGGGTTTCTATTTACAAAGATCAGAGTTCAGGACAAGAAGTAAAAGATGAAAGCTTATTGAAGAGCCATCCAGCCTGCAATTAAGGAGAAATTTCCTGTCAATGAGAACAATTAATCAATAGAATGACTTGCCTTCAGAAGTTGTACGCAGCTGTACATTTCCACCCCAGGCCACCCCAACGATGCCCTTGACGTGATGGCCCGTTGCCTGGAGGCCGTACGGGTCTGGATGGGGAGGAACAGACTCAGGCTCAACCCCTCCAAGACCGAGTGGCTGTGGCTGCTGGCGCCTCGGCATAGTCAGCTGACTCCATCGCTGACTATAGGGGGCGAAATTTTGGCCCCCTCAGAGAGGGCTCGCAACTTGGGAGTCCTCCTGGATCCACGGCTGACATTGGAAGACCATTTGTCGGCCGTGA